ACTTCATGAAGTAAAAACATAGTACAAAAAAGGGGGGGAAAGGAACTCATGAATTAAAACTGCAACAGCAGCCATGGACTGTGTACAGTTCCTGAAGGACTGGTATCTTGGGGGGGTCTCCTTGGAGCCCAGGCTCTTTCTGGCCAAGGCCCAAGGTTCACCAGTTGTCAGGCCCCTCCATGAATGGGACAAACCAAACCACTGTGGGGCCCTCGGAGCTCCCCACAGCATCAGCCATAGCCCCTGGACCAGGCACTGGGGCCTGGGCATGGCTAGTGCTGGTAGGGGTTGTGCTGGGGGCTGTGGTTCTCTCTTGCCTCATCGCACTTGCTGCCAAATGCCACCTCTGCTGCCAATACTATGCCAGCTATAGGCACCGCCCACCTTCTGAGACAGGAAGGGGGAACCACCCAGAGTTGGTGGAAGATGAGGATGATGATGGCTTCATCCAGGACAGTTACATTCAACCTGGAACTGGTGAGTTGGGGACAGAGGGTAGCAGAGACCACTTCTCCCTCTGAGCCCCAATTTTTGGACACTGCCCCCTTCCTCCATGAGTGATAGCTAAGGACAGAGGCTACTATGTGGGAGCCTTGAGCCTCAGGGACAGAGGCAGTGAGGGCTTAAAGTTTAACCAAGGGAAGACCATCCTCCCTTCTCCAATATTAGCCACCAAAGTGACAATGACCCCTCTCTTGCTCTATAACCCTCAATTGCTCCCTGTTATTTTCAGAATAAAGCCTAACAAATACTTAGCTTGAATATGGGGAAAGACCTCCTGGGCCTCTTGATCTCCTTTCTTGCCACTCCCTATGTAACTAAACGTTTGCTATTCCCCCTGCCCCACCCCATGCAGTGTTTCCATGCACTTCTGCTTGGTAATCCTCTGCCTAAATCCTCTATGACAGTGATGAAAACTCTAGTCAGTAGGTCCCATGTGGCCTGCCTACCTGCCAGCATTTCAAATATGCCCAGATAACATGTGAGCAGGTGAGAAACAGTGCTAAGCCTCTTAATGAAATTTTTTCCTAGCAATAAAGTGGATATTATGGTTATAATATATCATATTTTTCATAGCGATTAATAAATGTATTGTCATTTTGAATTAAAAAAAAACTGCAACAGCAGATTTGAAAAAACATAATAAAAGGGTAGAATGCTTAAATTGCAGAAAGCAGTACAAAAAGCAAAAGAATGGAAAATAAGAGAAAAGATACAAGGAGAGGAGCCAACCAGGAGAAGTAACATCTGAATGAGGAGAGTCCCAGGGGAGGAAACAGAGAAACAGAGGAGGAGGATAGCAACAAAATACTTTGAGGATAATTTCCCAGACCTTAAGGGCACATGTTGGGAGATTAAAAAACAACCACTAAATGCCCAGCATGATGTTCTCACTGCGAAGCTCAGAACCCTGAGATCAAACAGTATACTCTAAAAACTTTCAAAGAGCATTGGCTCCTGAGACCTCATTGTTATATTTTAGGAATTTTGCAGGCTGATTGTTAAAGCATGGGTAGCTTAGCCACAAGTGAACTTAGCCACCCTAGGAGTATTTACACCATGTTTGTATTAAAGAAATTGGCAAAGGCTACAAATCAAGGGTGTTTTGGGGGGAAGGGGGGTCAGTTTTCCAGCATATTACTAAATAGTTAAATAAGTTAAGGTATATAATTTATCTAGCCATTAACACTAATAATGCTGAAGAATATGTAGAAACAGAAAATGTGTCAAAAGACAAAATTTAGCTATAGATCCTATTGGCTTTTATTTGTTATTCATGAATGGGGCAGCCTGGCATTCTACAAAATGAAATGAGAGCTCCTATTGGGCAATATATGAGAACAATAGATTTTAGCAGGAACAAGGAAACAATAATAGGAAAAAAACCCTGATTGGTTAACATCAAGTTACTTCGGGTTACTTTTTTGAAAGGTTAAACCAGAGGGAACTTCCTTATTAGGCTGATTCAGGTAGATGACTGGAATCTCCTGTTTTTAAAAACTGGTCTGTTTGGCTATCTATCCGATCCCTTAAAGTCTCAGTTTGATTATGTGGCATTTAGGTTTGATTTCGTCAGTGCAGGAGCTCAGTCCAGAACAATGACCTCCCATAATTTTAAGAGATGACATAACATTATACGTAAAAAAAGGACAGAGGGTGCAAAAAAATGTATACACAAGAAAGGAAAAATGGTATTAAAATTGTAATGCTTAATATATACTGATAACGTTTGTTAGCGTGTATATTGTATCTTATATCTCTTGTATTTGCAGAAGTCAAATGTGACTTGAGTACATTTTTAATACAATTTTTTACTTTCTTAAAATGTGTATACATTTTTGGCACCCTTTGTATACGTACACTACAAATACAGTTATATAAAATATGTTCATATGGGGGCAGCGCCTGTGGCTCAAAAGGGTAGGGCGCTGACCCCATATGCCGGAGGTGGCGAGTTTAAACCCAGTCCCGGCCAAAAAAAAAAAAAAATGTTCATATGGACAGACACCAAAGGAAATACACACAGGAAAGAAATAGTTGTCATGTTACAACGATGATATCAGTGTTTTGAATCTTGTTTTAAATTATCATCACTAGTTTTATAATTTAAAATTAAAAATCTCTGCTGGCCACTGCCTCCAATACTTAGAGAACAAAGTCCAAACTTGCCTGATGAAAATCCTATAAGGGTGCCCCATGACCTTAAGGTCTTATAGAATTCTCAAAAGGAAATTTTAAAGCCACTTCCCTGCACCCACCTGCACTCTGGTTCTAGCCAACTGACCACTTGTGGTCCCTTCTGGGAAGCCTTCCTCCCACTTACCCTGAGGAATTGGCAGCATCTGCAAGATTCCCCCTGGCCTCCCACAGCACCAAGCTCCTCCTCTTCCCGGGCATCCTCTTCTACACATCTCCATGGTAGCTCTTATTCCTGGGCTGTAGTTGAGGACCTAGGTCTAGGTAGGAGTTTGTTCTCCTAAGAGTGGGAGACTTCAGGGACCTTTCTCTCTGGGGCCTGCTACACACCATAAGAGCTTTAAGCAATTGTTCAGTGAGGGTGGGGGGGTAGAGGGCAACCATTATAATGCCTCTTTTCCATGAAGCCTTCTTGATTCCCATGCCATCTCCATTCCTAGAAGAAACTGAACTTTCCTGTAGCACATTATATGACCTTGAGTAATGCACAGGTACTTATTTCTCTATACGGCAATTCCCTCACCTGTTTAAATGAAGTCAATAATAGTATCTAGCTCACCAGGCCACTGTGAGGATTAAATTGGGTTATGCTTATAACATTCCACGCCAAGGCTTGGTGCCTGTGGCTCAAATGGCTAAGGCGCCAGCCACATACACCTGAGGTGGTAGGTTCGAATCCAGCCCAGGCCTGCCAAACAACAATGATGGCTGCAACCAAAAAATAACCAGGCGTTGTGGCAGGCGCCTGTGGTCCCAGCTACTTGGGAGGCAGAGGCAGGAGACTTGCTTGAGCCCAGGAGTTGGAGGTTGCTGTGAGCTGATGCCACAGCACTCTACCCAGGGAAATAGCTTGAGGCTCTGTCTCAAAGAAAATAAAAAAATAACATTCTACACCAAGCACATAGTAAACATCTAAAAAAAGTAATCCACTGGGATGATTAGTGTGACACCTTTACATGGCCTTTGTCTTCCCGCCTCCTGTTGCACCTTGCTTATTAGATTTGAAGCTCTTTGTGAGCAGAGAAGGCATCTTGTTTACCTTTGCATATTCTACAGTACATGGCATGCTGGCTGGCCACAGTAGGCATTCAACAATCTTCCTTAAATGTGCACAAATGAGCACACAGAGGGGCCACAGACGTGGCATGTGCAGGGAGGTGCACACATAGACTTATGGACATACCAGTACCAATGTACCTGTCTGTCTTCATCTTGGTTAACCCTCTGGTCTGGAGTGATGACCACCTCCTGCTCTTGGAATTACAGCATTCTCTGTGGCCTCTGTGCCCCTCTCTTCCTAGATTTCCACCGACTTGTGGAAATAAGTGGGGAGGCTGGCATCTGCGTCTCCCTTCCACTTTTCCCGTGGGCCCTGGCTCCCTTCTGTTCCCCAGGCCGTTGGCATAGTAAGTTCCCATCAGTTCAGTTTCCTACTTAATCCCATTGTGTGGACAAAGGGATACATACATGAATCAACTACAGAAAAATGTTCATTGTAGAATCTAAGTGGTGGGTTTATGAGCATTCATTACAATTCTCTCAACTTTTCTGTTCTTCAAATTTTTCATAAAATGTTGGGCAAAAGTCCTTCAATGGTTATTTGGGCTTTGGGGATAAAACGCAAACCCAACACATAGAACATAAGGCCTTTTAAGATCTTTTCTGGATGCAGCCTCCCTGGGTAACCTCATCTGCCACCATGCCTATGTCCCCTTCACACACGCCGTTAGGGTGGGAGCTCACCTGAAGCCACTCAGGAGAGCTGTGGTAGTGCATCCCTCTGTCCCCAAACTAAAGGCTCCTGATTCCTGGAAAGCTCTGCCCTGATTTTTTCCTAACAAACCCCAACCTCTGGGCTCCCTTCATACTTATCTCAATCAATGCCTCCTCTTGAAAGCCTTCCCTGATCTCTGAGACTGAGGCTCCTTATCTGGCCCCCACAATCTCTCCAGTAGCTCAGAAAAGGTATTTGGAATGAAGAGCCTCCACCCAGTGCTGGAATTACAGATAAATACCTGCCTGTGGCGTCAGCAGTGCAGACCTGGCCTGAGGACGTGGTTACACTAGCCTCTGAGTCACAGATGAGCTCTAATTTCTTTATACAAATAACGTCCGTTACCCTCCATACAAACTCTCAGAGAACACATCCTCAGGCAACTGGCTGAAGCTGGACGGACAGGAAGACCTGGTCGCCAGCTGGGGGTGGAGGGGACTTGGAGGGAGAGGTCCGGGCTGGGGTGGGGAGGAAGGCGGGGCCTGAGCCTGTGCGAGTGTCCCCAGACGGAAGTTGCACCACAAGCACAATTAGTTTCAGTTTTGCTTCTCTTTCAGGAGCCCTGCAGTAGCGGAGTCCAGACCCCAGCCCCCTTGCAGTCCTGAAGGCCAAGGTCATCTCTGGCTAGGTAAGGGCTCAGGGGTGGCTAAAAGAAAGAGCTGACCTGGAGGGGTAGGGGGGGCAGACAGGCAAAGGGAGGGGAGAGCGCAGGGGAAGAGGAGGAGGGAGAGGGGAAAGAGGCACCCGGAAGGCAGGAGAGCAGGAGGGAAGCAGCACCCTTCACCCCGCCCTCCAGGCCAGAGGCCTGGGGCTTGCCCCCCAAAGACCCCTGCCCACTTATAGAGTTCCTCTCCCAGCCTTGCAGCCCTCGGAAAAGGTGACTCTTCAGCAAGTCTCCTTATGAAGTACTTTTCAGCCACTGTGCTGGGGGCTCACAACTCCCTGCCAGGGGTTTCCGGAAGGCATTCAGCAGGGAAAGCTAAACTCCAGGTGTTGGGCCAAGTCCTAGGTGGCACCCCCTATCCCCCAGGTCTGAGTTCTACCTGAGGTCCAGGTTGAGCAACTGGAAGGAGAGGAACCCCAACCCTCAGCCTTCTTTCTGTCATCTCCACAATTCATTTCAGGAAAAGTCTGGGGCAGGAAATGAGGCCTCCTCATCCACTATGCTGCCCCAGGTAGATGTGTGGGGTTGAGGGGATCAGGGTCCATTTTACTGTAAAACTCCACCCCAGCTGCCAGGATCAAGGTGACAGACCCCATTCTGTGTCCTTCCTGCTTGCCCCTCACACCAGCACTCCACACAGGGGGACCCCAGGATCTGTGTGCACCAGAGGGCTTGAAACACACTCTGCCAGGAGGCCTGTGGACTTCCGATCTTTTCTCACAGGTCTGACATTATAAGAGCATTTATATTTTTATATTTGCAGAGCGTACACAAAGAGAAGGAGGAGGGGAACAGCTCCCTAGCTTAAGAGCAAATAGCCTGAGACCCCAGAAGACCAGAAGGAAGTTCTTATCCTTGAGGGGAGAGAATAGGAGACCCCAGGGGAGAGGTGGGAAGGTGGACTTCAGGTCCTGTGGAGGTGCTCTCTGACCACTGGCCCTGACCTTCTGCCTGCAGGATGGTTTCCCAGGGCTCCTCACCCTCCCTGCTGGAGGCCCTAAGCAGTGACTTCCTGGCCTGTAAGATCTGTCTGGAGCAGCTGCAGATGCCCAAGACGCTGCCCTGCCTGCACACCTACTGCCAGGACTGCCTGGCCCAGCTGGTTGAGGGCGGCCACGTCCGCTGCCCTGAATGCCGAGAGACTGTGCCTGTGCCACCCACAGGTGTGGCTGCCTTCAAAACCAACTTCTTCGTCAATGGGCTACTGGACCTGGTGAAGGCCCGGGGCTCTGGAGACCTGCGTATGGGGAAGCCAGCCTGTGCCCTGTGTCCCCTGGTGGGGGGCACCAGTGCCGGGGGGCCAGCCACAGCCCGGTGCCTAGACTGTGCTGATGACCTGTGCCAGGCTTGTGCCGACGGCCACCGCTGCACCCGCCAGACCCACACCCACCGGGTAGTGGACTTGGTGGGCTACAGGGCGGGCTGGTATGATGAGGAGGCCCGTGAGCGCCAGGCAGCTCAGTGCCCCCAGCACCCTGGGGAGGCACTGCGCTTCCTGTGCCAACCCTGCTCCCAGCTGCTGTGCCGAGAGTGTCGCCTGGACCCCCACCTGGACCACCCCTGCCTGCCCCTGGCTGAGGCTGTGCAGGCCCGGAGGCCAGGCCTAGAAGAGCTGCTGGCAGGCGTGGACAGCAATCTGGCTGAACTGGAGGCGGCACGGAGAGTAGAGAAGGAAACCCTGGTCCAGCTGCGGGAGCAGGCGGCCCAGGTAGGGACACACGTGGAGGAAGTGACTGAGAGGGTCCTCCGGGATCTCCTGGCCCAGAAACAGGAGGTGCTGGGGCTGCTGCGGGCCCATGTGGAGGCTGTAGAGAAGGCTGTTCGGGAGAGGCTGGTGGAGCTTGAGGGCCGTGAACAGGTGGCCAAGGAGGCGGCTGCCTTTGCCCGCCGTGTGCTCAGCCTGGGTCGAGAGGCTGAGATCCTCTCTCTGGAGGGGGCAATTGCCCAGAGGCTCCGGCAGCTGCAAGGCTCTGGCCATTGGACGTCTGGGCAAGCCCCCTTTGTGCAGCCCCAGCTAGAGCTCCACCCTGGGCTCCTGGACAGGGATTGCCGCCTGCTTTGGCTCTCCTTTGAGGAGCAGCAGCCACAGATTGACAGTGGAAAGGATGGAACTGGTGCCCGAGGGGACATTGAGACACAGAGGCAAACAGAGTGTGTGGCCAAGGCAGAGGGACAGAGCAGAGTCCAGCCTCAGGGCAGGGATGGAGCACAGACTCTGAAAGAGGACAAACCACAGACACCCCAAGAAGGTGGAACCCAGACCCCAGAAGAGGATAGAGCCCAGACACCCCAAGGTGAAGGAGGAGCTCAGAACCAGAAGGGTGGCAGATCTGACAAGAAGAGAAAGTTCAAAGGCAGGTTCAAGTCAATTTCCCGGGAGCCCAGCCCAGCACCTGGGCCAATCCTGGAAGGCTCTGGCCCCCTCCCCAAGCCCATCTTTTCCTGCAGCTTCCCCACACGGATGCCTGGAGACAGGTGTTCCCCCAGGATCACTGGATTGTGTCCCTTTGGCCCCCGGGAGATCCTGGTGGCAGATGAGCAGAACCGGGTGCTGAAACGCTTCTCCCTCAATGGTGACTACAGGGGCACTGTGCCAGTCCCTGAGGGCTGCTCCCCCTGCAGTGTGGCAGCTCTGCAAGGTGCCGTGGCCTTCTCAGCTGGTGCAAGGCTCTATCTCATCAGCCATGATGGTGAGGTGCGGTGGCGGCGGGCTTTGAGCCATTCCCAGGCTAGCCATGCTGTGGCTGCACTGCCAAGTGGGGACCGCGTGGCTGTCAGTGTAGCAGGCCACGTGGAGGTGTACAACATGGAAGGTAGCTTGGCCACTCGGTTCATCCCTGGTGGGAGGGCAAACCGGGGCCTGCGGGCACTGGTATTCCTGACCACCAGCCCCCAGGGCAATTTTGTGGGGTCAGATTGGCAGCAGAATAGTGTAGTGGTCTGTGATGGGCTGGGCCAGGTGATTGGAGAATACAGGGGGCCAGGCCTGCATGGCTGCCAGCCAGGCTCTGTGTCTGTGGATAAGAAGGGCTACATTTTTCTGACCCTTCGAGAGCTCAATAAGGTGGTCATCCTGGACCCAGAGGGGTCACTTCTTGGAGACTTCCTAACGGCCTACCACGGCCTAGAAAAGCCACGGGTGACCACCATGGTGGATGGCAGGTACCTGGTCGTATCCCTCAGTAATGGGACCATCCACATTTTTCGGATCCGCTCTCCTGACAGCTAAAGGGACCAGGATTGGGAAGGGGGAAAGGAGAAGGGATAGTAGGAGGGAGGCAGAGCTGCCTGTGGGATGTGGCAGCTGAGGATGTTTTCCTGAAGGGGAGGGTTGATGACTTTTCATTGTGAAGTGCCAAACTGCTAACTCCTCTGTGGTGTGCAGGGATGGGGACCAAGGCTGGTGGTGTGGCCATGACTGCAGGAGCAGAGGGGAGGGATGGGAAGGGTACTGGGGACCTCTCAGCCTCTTGTTTTTTGCCAATGGCTGCCGCTGCTGCTGTAGTTTAGGTTTTTGAGATGTGTAAACTTGTCCTGATTCGCATTCTTCAAAATCATTCCTCATGAAGTAGCTAAGGGAAAGGGTTTTGTTGAGGGGCAGGTGACAAAAGTAGCCCAGGGTGGGTTGGATGTGCATTCTGGGATAGAACTGGGAATCTGGCTTCCTCAGACTGCACAGCATCGTGTGGGGTCAGAAGAGGCTTGAGATTTCAAATCAGCCCCAAGTGACATCCATCCCAGGGAAGCTCCTAGGATAAGTACTTCCCAGGGAAGTACAGGATGAGCTTCAGGTGGGAACAGATGCAGCCATCAGCTGGGGCCAAGAAGTGTCAGCTTTAGCAGCTGTGAAGGGAATAGCCCGGGAAAATCAAACCCTGCAGAGTTGGTGTCTAAGACACCAGGTTCTGAGTATCAGCCAGGGAAGCCCTCCATGCCCTCCACAGAGCCAAACTGCAGCAAGACAAGTGTGGGATGTAAAATCTCCATGATGCCACCCTTCTGTTTTGATGTCTTTACATTTCCTGGAGTCTGTTTTTTGTTCTCCTTTAGTTTTTCCTGTGAAATTCATTTTGAGAAATGTTGGCCTTCGCCTGGCTGAAGTAAGAGGTGAAGGCCACGATTGCTGGGAGAAACAAGTGAATCCAGAGGGCAGGTGTGGGATTGGGGGTGCTAAGGAAACTTGAGAAGTCAGCAGTGGGACTGGGGTGGAAGGAAGTATAAAAACGGGAGGGAAGGACCCAGCTGGAGGTGAGCTGGGACCGCTGGTCCTTTTTGGAGGTGGCTGAGTGGGCTGCAAGGACATATTTAGCTAAGGGCTGTTGAGAGATGATGGAAGGGGTTCTTAAGGTAGGGATCATGGATGATGGAGTGTTCATAGGAACCAGAGAGATTTTGGACAAGTCCAGATGGAATGTGCAGGGTGTAGGGGTAGAGAAAAGAAACTCCCATCCTGAAGAGGCTCTATCTTATATATTGAAATGGTGGGGGAAATTGTCAAAGTCAGGGTGGACAAATTATATAAAAACTAAAGATGTATGCCAAGCGAAGAATAACGAAGATTTTAAGAAAACCAAGAAGATGAGAAAACTACGTAGAATTGATTCAATGAGGAAAAGCTAAGTGTCTGATATATGCAGTGACTATGAGACTATTTGGTCCAAGAACCTAACAGTCTGTGCGCTCTGGAGGAAATGCACACAGGCAAGGATTAGTAAGATGAAACACCAAAATAAAATCACTTGCATTCGTTAAAAATAAATTTTAAAAATATATTGTAGAGAAATAGACTTCTGGCACTATAAAATAAGGCTTCCTGGAGAACAATTTGGCAATACTTGACAAGAGGGGGGAGAAATGATTGTAAGAATATGTTATCTCACTTTAGGGAATACGTTCTGGGAAAGAAGAAATATTTGCATAGAGATATTTGTGACTGCCCTATATTGTACAGTCATTAACTGGAAACTGCTCAATTGTGGGGTGATAGCTGAGTAGATTGTGGTCCGTTAGAGGAATGAGCTGTTGCTTTCATGTATGATAATGACGGAAACTATTGAGAAGAAATAGCTATGTGATACAATCATAATCCAAAAAAAAAAAAGTGGAAAATCTGGAATTACAATCATGTAGTAACAACAAGGGTAAAGTTAGTCTGAGTAGTTACCATGTTGAAATAGATTCAGAATTTGTAAATAGTCAGTGATTTGGGAGTTATTTTGTGCTCTTATTCTTATGTGCACATTTCTACTTCGGTGATTATCCATTACATAACATGCTTGAATATTTACTTCAAGGCAATACACAGTGCAAATGATAGTGAAGCATAACTACAGGATTTAAGAATGAATGTGTCAGAACAAATGAGATTGTCCTGCAAGAGAAGAGGCACAAATGAGGGATGGGGGTCAGCTAGCTTAGTCAGGGCTCTCTGGAAGGGTTTTCAGAGGTCAAGTAGGCTCCTCAAGTGATTGGATTATTATGGAGTGTCTGAAAGGCAAGGGACATGTCACAGTTCACCAAGTAACTCGGATCAACAGGAAAGCAAGTTCTAGAGAACCAGCTAATATAGGATGAGTTGCAGGAGGGCACAGACGGTGCCCGTCTTCACTGCAGCTCTGTCTGTGTGCTAGCATGTTGACAGCTCAGTATCTGTGAAGTGAATTAATACCTAGAAAGGGATAAGACAGTGGTATGACTCTATAGAGATTTCCCAACTTAAATGCCACATCCTGGCCAACTAAGCTGTCTAAAACCTCAGTGTGTGAGAATTCTCCGTTAGGGGGCACTGTGGACACAGTCCACCATATGCCTCCGGAGGCTGGGCTCCACGGAGAGATTATGTCTCTATTCCTGCTTCTGTGTGTGTGACAAGAAGAGCCAAGAGATGTGGATCATACACCCTCAGGTTGGAACAGCAGCTCTGCAGAGTTGCATGGGAGCAATGTGCATAGGTCTTGGCGGCCGAAATGTCTCTAGCCATATGGCCCACTCACGGGCAAAGCAGGAATAGAGACCTGAAGTGAAAAGTCATATGGCTGCAATAAGAGACCCACAGGTGCTCCAGAGATGAGAGAACCAAGTGGCTTCCCCAGAAGCTATCAGAATCTTGTGAAGATGAAGGAAAGTACTAGCTTTTCTTTATAAAGAGGTAGGAGTAAGAAGGCATAGGACACTGGCAAAATGTGACAGATGGATGGGAAGGGTAGCATCAAGCATGATTTGGAGGGAAAATTCTCAATGCCTTAATTAAGTTAGGTGGGAATCGAGAATCCCATAGAAAGCACCAAACGCGTGGGGCAGAGGGGTGGTGAAAGTTCTCAACAGGTGCAAAGTAATCAGGAACATCACAAAAGAAACAAAATGCTCCACCCCCACCCCACCTGGGGATTGTGACAATTAACTTGATAAATTGTTCCTTTTTCTATTGGGAGCTGCCCAGGCCATGCACAGACTGGTGAAAGGAGAATTCCATTGTGGGAGAGAGGAGGGGAACAGAAAACCTCTTTTATATTCTACGTATCAAAAAAGAGGAAAAGAAAGAGATTAAGATAGAAGAGACCTGGGTTGAGTGTTGGCTCTTCCACTAAATAGCTGTGTAGGCTTGATGCCTGAAGCACAGTGGTTATGGCACTATCCACATACACCCAGGATGGCAGGTTCGAACCCAGCCCGGGCCAGCTAAACAATGACAACTGCAACAACAAGAAAAATAGCCAGGTGTTGTGGCTAGCGCCTGTAGTCCCAACTATGTGGGAGGCTGAGGCAAGAGAATCGCTTAAGCCCAAAAGTTAGAGGTTGCTGTGAGCTATGATGCCACAGCACTCTATCCAGGGCAACTTAGCGAGACTCTTGTCTCAAAAAAAAAAAAAAGAAAAGAAAATAGCTGTGTAGTCTTGGTCTAGTTCCTTGACCTCTCTGAGCCTCAGTTTGTACATCAGGGTTGGTGTGAGGATTAGATGAGAAGCGTAGAGAGAAGCATTTTGTAAACCATGAATTTTAAATCCAAGGTATTGGTTAGGAAAAAGTTCAACTGACTTGAACTGACCAAATACCCCTCCATCAGTATAAGCTTATATGAGGATTTTATGTGCAAGCATTGTGCAGTAAGGACTGAAGAACATCTGAGTAGAGATGTTACCTCCAAACCGTTTTCTTTGGAGGAGACTCTTTTGTTTCGCTTTCAGCAGTTACGTTAAGAAGCCATATCTGAAGACACAACAATGACTGAGGGGGCAGAAGGGACCACTGGTCAGCCTGCTGAGATTCAATATCATTCCTAAAAGCCAGTCGAGAATCAGACTGTACTAATTAAGGACTTATGACCATAGACATTTAGAAAAAGTTAAAAATGGCAAGAGTGTTCCAATTTGGGAGAGAATAGCTCTCCTTCCACTGTCTTACTATTATTGTATCTATAAAGCAATGTTACATTCTAAATATACAGAGAGAAAATTCCAGAGGGCAGAAGTCCAAGAGAGAAGTCAAAAGGTTTCCGAGGAAGTTGATGAGGTTGTTAACCTGAGCTGGGCAGGGTTTGACAGGTAGGTGCCAAGATAATGGTGTTTGTCTGTCTCTCTCTGGCAGGCAGGCTGAGAACTAGAGATGCCCATAAATTAAGTGGGAGGTTGGACAGGGCTGGAGACTTGTGCTGAGGGGAAAACAGTCTTGGACAAGGCAGGGCAGAGAGGCTGCTAGAGAGAGTACTAAAGAAAATGTTTTCAGCAGGAGGAAGACCAAGTTCAGATGCAGGCTTAGGAAGGTAGGCATCCTGACTGAAGGTAGCAGAACCAGGTTAGCCAGCTGGATCATAAATAGGGTTTAATTAAGCGGATCAGGACAGGAGCAAAAACAGGTCTTCTAGGACCCAGGACTCCTGTGATTGGAGGGGCAGGAAAGATACAGCCAGGCCACAGAAGACCTTACCTGAGGTACTGGGCAAGGAATCTCAGGGACCAGGGGGAGGAGGGCCTGTGCATAATGAGATTGGGAGACAGCCTGACTTGTCTCCAGAGAAACCTGGAACTGGGTGGCTTAGTAGTCACAAGAGACAGGGTTGAAAACAAGATACTATGGTGTTGGAACCCAGGGACTGGGTGCCAGCCCAGCCCAAATGGGGTTTTCATAGGGTAAAGCACATGTGCTGTAAACTGGTTCATTCCTTTGGTTGTTTGTTTTATCTTTCCTGTTTCTTAATAAAGTTCTTTTGAAAAAGCCAAACCTTTTCTCAGATGGATTCATGAATGTGGGGAACCTTCCCCACATAGACCCAGGCAGCAAAGGGAATCAGATCAGCAAGGCTACTCCACAGTAGCTTCTAGGAGGGCCACACAGATTCCTTGGGGACACTGCAGGAGCAGGAGTGACTGGCACAGGTATCATCTGTGAGCCCAAACTCATCCTAGGCCACTCCCTCCTGCAAGACAGAGGAGGCTCTGGACAGAGATGTGTACCTCCCAGGCTAAACTTGGGTGGAGCCAGCAGGTGACCCGGTGACTTGCATGCAGGAGTGGAGGTGTAATATGGAAGCCCAAGTGAGGGGGTGCTGTGCCCACTGCATTGGGCTTTGCCTGTTTTCTGATTTAGGGGAGCCAAATGGGCATGTCTGGGTACTTTCTGGCATGCTGCATTGTGAGCCTCCTTGCAGGGTTGGGGTATCAGTGATTAAGGAACCCACTCCCCTGATACAGTCTCCAAGACACCCATCCCCAAGGAGTCTCCTTCCTTTCCACTCCAAGTTTTCCTGAGCAGGAAGAGGAAAGACCTTAGCCTGTGGCCTCCCCATCAAATAGCAGTGACTGAGAGACTGCCGACGCATGCATCACAACCATCAGCTCCCGGAAACAGCCAGATTATATCACGGATAAGAAAACCAAGGCTTCACGAGGCTTGCTCATGAAAAATGGATTCAGATCCAGACTAAGGATTGTCTGACTCCCAAGCTGACCTCGGGTCCTCTGCCTCCCCAAGTAGCTCTGAATCCTGGTCGAGTCACTCTGAGTATCTTAGTTTCCTCCTTTATAAAATGAGAGAGGGAACAAAATGAGATCTCAGATTCTTCCCTGTGTGAACAGATGAGGCCCCTGTCCCTATCTGAATAGGTGTGTAGATCTGACGTAAGGAAATTCCTCAGATATCCTCATGCAACCCACTGCCTCTTGTCCTTATCGCCAGAGCCCCCAAGATGGAGAAGGAATGACAACTGAGGAGGGAATGCTTTGAATGGTCTGGCAGGGAAGCAGGGCCCTCCACTGCTGGTGCGGTGACAGCCTGAATAAGAATTCTGCAATTCATCATCTAATGACTCAGCGGGCTTTGGACCAGCGCCTCTGCCAACCCCAGGGAGCATGACTCAGCAACTGAGGGGGCCGGTAGTAGGAGAGACTGCTGTGGTCCATGTGAGCAGTGACTGTGGGGAGGACGGCCTGTTCCTAGCTCCAAACCCCAAGGCAAAGCATCTGCCACTGCGGTCAGACACACACAGCCTTGGGTTCCCAGACATGTGGCCAAGCCTCCTCCCTCAGACCTGGTCTCTCCTGGTCTCCACTAGAGCTGTCACAGCCCCAAAGGTACAAAGGTCCCCTCTGTTCCCTGACAGCCTTGGTGAACAGTATGTCTGCACTAAGAGGCTATTGACACAGACTCTTCAGCCCACTCCCCTGCACTGCACTCCTGAACAGGTCAGCCTCCCCAGAGAGCAAGAGGACACACACCCCAGGGCACTTCATAGGGCTAGAATGGCATTGGGCACGCGGCTGGACTGATGGCCACAGCCTCCCTCTCCTCTCCTGGGGATGGGAAATGGCTTGGTTTTTCCCAGGGGCCAAGTCAGAACTTATGTCTTCATCTTCAGAAATAGTGGTATCTATTCTCTCTTCCAATAGTAAGCTAGGGATTGTCCACCAACTTGCAGAAGAAAACAGAAAGAGTAAGCCAAAGGGGAGCTTCCCCTCAAATCCAGAGAGGGGCCGTGGGCAGGAAGCCACAGCACTTAATGGGAACACACTGACTTAATCTCCCCGCCTGCACCCACTGCTCCCGGGTGGCTGATCAGTGTCTAACTTAGATTGTTCACATGCAGCTCTTTCCTCACCTACAAAGCCCTTCAACATGAAGGTTTATGCTTCATGCTGAGCTCCATAATCAGCTATTCTGTAGATTCCTGTTGGTTGAAAAAACAAAGGGGTGGTGTTTGTTACAGTGGCTCACGCCTGTAATCCTAGTACTCTGGGAGGCCGAGGTGGGTGGATTGCCGGAGCTCAGGAGTTTGAGAACATCCTGAGCAAGAGGGAAACCCTCATCTCTACTAAAAATAGGAAAAATTAGCTTAGCATGGTGGTAGATACCTGTAGTCCCAGCACTTGGGAGGCTGAGGCAGGAGGATTGCTTGAGCCTAAGTGTTTGAAGTTGCAGTGAGCTATGATGATGCTACAGCAACAGTGAGACTCTGTCTCAAAAAAAAAAAAAAGAGAGAGAGAAAGAACAAGCAAGCAAATTTATCCTAAACCTAGTCATCTTCATCCAAATTGTACACAAACTTGGGTGGAATTGGCAACTCTGTCTATGGGGTGAGGTTCTGGAGCAAGAGAGGTTTATACCATACCTTTTCCTTGAAAGGAAGGTGTGAGTAAGAGTGAAGATATCCAAAATCTATAAAAAGAAAATAACCTTGCCTTGCTGAGCTGCTTCTTTTTCCACAGTGCTTTACGCTTCTAACATGCCTGATCGATCCATTATTTTAGTCTACCTTATTGTTTGTCTCCCCTCCCCCCTTCACGTTTGATCATGAGGACAGAGGACTTTGTTTTGTGCACTGATGGATCCTAAGCCCTTAGGACAGTAGCTGAGCCACAGTGGACACTGTGGGAGTGAATGAATGCACTGAATCAATGAACAAATGCATGGTGGGACCCACTGAGCATTTACTCTGGGCTGGTTTTGCACACTGCATAGATTCTCTTTTCATCCTTTCAGCAGTTCTGTGATGGAGGGATCACTTTCATTCCTGTTTTAAAGATGAAGAAAGTGAGGCTAGAGAGATCATGCAACGCTTGCAGGGGTCACCAGTCTCTGACAAGTAGCTGGGCAGAGGCCAGGCCCCTGTGGCCAGCCTAGTAGATTTTTTGCCACCCCTTGAGAGGAGGGAACCCGGGTTCAAGTTGGCCTGAGGCTTGGGGGAGGGGTTGGGTTCTCTTTGCCCTTGACCTGAAGAACTGGTTTTGACAGGAGCCTGTTCCTGTGGGGAGCACTGAAGTTCTGGGCTGGGCAGGTCCTCCCCTAGGCTTTAACTCAGCTCCAGGCAGCAGGAAGCCCACAGAAAAGTGATCTGGGGAGTAGTCATACCCTGCACTTGGTCCTGGGAGCCTCCCATGCTGTCTGGGATGGCGGGCAGCAAGGAAGTATTAGGGGACAATGCACACACACCCCAGTTCTGCAGGTGGAGAGCAGAGAGTCCCTCCTCACAGCCTGGGGGCAGTTGAAGCCAGGCACCCCACTCCTCCCGACTGGTTCCCCAATCCCCCCGCTGCCCCACACCTCTGACAACTCTTCTCCCACCAGGACTAAAATCTCAGCTGAGGGGAGCTGCACCTCAGGACAGAAATATATTTGGGGGATGGGACAGGGTCATGTGGGAAGTTGATGGGGAGGAAGACA